TTCTTTATATTATGAGTATATGATGAATGGGGTCTGTGGACCAATTCATTCTTTTTTGTAATGCCCACGTTGCGGGGTAGGCCCAAAAAAGTTCTAAATTTGGAAACCGTGATAAGTTTCCATGCAAATTGTCTGGCAAGAGCTGAATTTGGGTGGGCAGCCATGTTTTGCTGTGCGTATAAATTGCTTAAGTCCACAATCATTGATACAAATCTTCTGTGAAAAACAGCGGAGGGGCTAAATGCTAGTGCTGACAGCAAATGGGGCTGACCCTGCGTTTTTGGGGACACTATACTAAGGAGGCAATAGTATAGTTCTGTTTGTGATCAATATATTGATCCGTACAAACACTATTCTAGTAATGGAGGTGATCATCAACGTATAGCGTGAGTGCGATAGTGTGCAGGCAATCTAACGCTAGCTGACCCTGGCTGGGAGGGGCACTAACTGACCCTGATGCTATCTGATTTCCCTAGTGGCAGTAATACAGTGATCAGTGAAAAATTCTATATACTGACACTGTACTAATGGCACTGGCTGGGTGACTGGGTGATCAAGTTGTTAATAGGGACAATCAAAGGGTTAAATGTGCTAATCTAATGGGTGTGTGTAAAATGTAGTGATTTTACTCACAGTGTGGTGCTCTTTCTTCTCTCCCTGGACCGACGGGGGGGGGCATTGGGGGACGAGCACATGCATGCTGACACCCGGAAATAGAAAGCGACGTAAGGGTATGTTGCCTTGCCCTTAACATTGTACTACTCTGGGGAGATGATCAGGGATTTTTGCTTTGCAGGACCAAGAAAGATTGTGCTCCTGTAATGCAATGCTTGCTTTGAACTGTCATGAATGGGTTAAGTTCATGGCATCTGTGACTGGCTACAGCTGATCACATGGTACAGGGTGCTGTGATTGGCCCATGTACCATGTGAGAGCTGTGAGTGGTACGTCGTGAGTGGTTATACCGGGATGATGCCTGCAGCTACAGGCATCAACCTGGTATTATTTTTTTCAGCTGGTAGTTGGTTTTAATTAAAAGCAATCCTAGTGGCTAATTAGCTGATTGATCCCTTTTACAAGCAGCGTGAAGTGATAAGCCCCACCACCTACCGTCTTCTATGGCTTTCTTGGTCTTTCCCATCCCACCGAGGAACCAGAAAATGCATCCAGCAGTTCCAGCAGCAGACCATAGAGCTGATTGGAGACCAGCCTGACTTCAGAAAACCGGATTCTACGAGCATTTAATCACTTTCATTTCACTGAATATAAACAGCGCCATTTTACAGCACATTGGTCTATAAAGTCGCTTTACACATACTCCCTGGAATTCATAAAGACTGGAGCAGACTGAATTGATGAAAGTGTCTCAGAGGCAGTGAGAAAGTGGCACAGAATGCAGCAAATTGATGTACCAGTCTGGACCAGATGGTTGATTTTGGAGGAATACTTTTCTATTTGTCTAGCATCCCTTCTGAGTAAAACTGGCACTCACCCTTATCACACTTTGGCACAAATACAGTTCAAATTGTTTCACGTCTCTTCCAAAGGGAACTGGTGCATTAAGCTTTCGATTGTATATGGCCCTTTGCTTTTTAACTGTTGCACGTCCTCCTTTTAAGGAGAACTGGTATCACTTGCCGGCCGCAATATGTACAGTAAATATATGTTGCAGCTAGCAAGTGGTTCACAGGGGTTATGGCTGACGATATCTTTTTTTTTTTCAGCCGGAGGCCAGATTTCTGATTAAAGGAGTCAGAGCGGCTCATTAGCCACTGGATTGCTTTCATTAGTGGCTGGAGGAGACGTTCCCCCCACCATCACTCGCCGGTGTTTCTCAGGCTTACCATTTCAACCAGTGCATCCAAGAAATGATCTGAAGGTGAGGCTGGCTGGTCATAGAAGATATGAGAGACTCTATCCTTTCTGATGGCCTCTATGGCCTTGGAGACTGGAGCAATGTCTGGGGAATTTTTATTTTTTATCTTTTGCTTTTAAAGGTAAAGAAGAGGACCAATCCTTTCTTAACCACCTCCCACCTTCGGACACAGCCCATTACGGATCAGGATATGGGATCTCTGTTTGGCCCTCCCAATCATGTGATGGCTGTGTCCAATCATAGCCATCTCAGAACGTCCACAGAGACACATATCTCTGTAGCGGTTTCCCTCCTCTGAGCTCTGTGAGAGCTCAGTGAGGGGGGGAAAGTGGGGGATGCTGTAAACTGTGACAGTTGATCTGTGTAGCTGATGATTTTGTCTCTGTCCACATGTCAACATCTGTCAGTGTCCCATAAACATCTGTCAACATCTGCCACAGTGTACAGTGCACAAAAACATATGTCACAGTGTACCAGTGTACAAAACAAATAAATAATAATAATAAAAAAAAAATTAAAGCACCCCTGTCCCCCCTTACTTACGTGCAAAGGCGAACGCACGCATTGGTCTTATATACATACGTAAACAGCGATTGCACCACACATGTGAGGTATCACCACGAAGGTCAGAGCGAGAGCAATAATTCTAGCACCAGACCACCTCTGTAACTCTAAACTGGTAACCTGTAAAGGCTAATAAAGCGTTGCCTATGGAGTGTAAATTGCACATCTGTACCAGTGATCCACATCTGTCATGACATACCAGCATAAAATCCACATCTGTACCAGGAATCCACATCCGTCACAGTGTACCAGGGTAAAATCCACATTTGTACCAGTGAGCCACATCTGTCATGACATACCAGCGCAAAATCCACATCTGTACCAGTGATCCACATCTGTCACAGTGTACCAATGTAAATTTCACATCTGTACCAGTGATCCAGTGCTCATCCATATCTGTACCAGTAATCAACATCTGTCCTGGCCTACCAGTGTCAAATCCACATCAGTTACAGTGTACCAGTGCTCATCCACTTCTGTACCATTGATCAACATCTGTCATGGCCTACCAGTGCCAAATCCGCATCTGTCATTTTATCAGTGCTCAATATCTGTCACACATTACTAGTGTAAAATCCACATCAGTACCAATGAATAACAGCAGTCATAGTGTACCAGAGTAAACTCCACACCTGTACCAGGGATCAATATCTGTCACAGAGTATCAGTGTCAAATCCACATCTGTACCAGTGATAAACATCTGTACTAGTGAACATCAAAATCAACAAACCCCATCTCTTCCTCTCCCCTCTTCTGGCTTTTCTTCCATCCTTTTCTTCCTTTTATTTTGTTTGTTCTAATCCTGCACACCACTGTACCTCTAAAGAGCTGATGCAGTACAGACACCTCTTCAGTAACAAGATGTTACTACCCAGGCTCAGAACGCTAATTTTCAGGCCAGATATAGCTTGTATTATGCTCATGATCACCAAAGAAAATACCGCATGAGTTTCCTTACAATGAGCTATGTTCTTAATGTTGCAACCAATCTCATATCTTGTACTGTTACGTAATGCACAAATCGCCTGTACTTTATTTTCTTTCTCTTGATTTTTAATTATTGTATTGATCAAAACCCAATAAATATTTCTTTGAAAAAATAATCAACATCAGCAATATCAGCAGTGCAGCATGAACATGTCTAAAAGATTACACACCAGCGAGGAGTCTTTCAAGATACTAAGTATGACAGATGAGAGTAGCGGGGAACTCTCTCTGTCAGACTCAGATTCTGAGTATGAGCCAGTTGAAAGCAGTGGGTCAGCAACGGATTCTGAGGAGGAAAGAGTCCAAACAAAGAGGTTCAGGAGATCTGAGGAGGAGCAGGCATCCTCAGATCTCCTGAGAAGTAGAGAAGTGTCGAGTACAAGCAGCGCAGCACTTCCATTAGATAGTAGCAGAATGTATTTTGGGGTGTAATTTTTTTCATTTTCTTTCCACATTTTCTGAAAACTTGTGGAACAAAAATTACATTTTCAAAAGACTCATTATGCCTCATAAAATATACATTGTGGTGTTTGCTTTACAAAAGTGGGTCATTTTGTGGGTAATTCCTTTGTCCTGGTGCTCCAGGACCTTAACAAAATGTGATAGGTAGTCAGGAAATGAGATGTGTCATTTATGCTTGTAGGTACCACTTGGATGTTGGACCTCTGTATGTGGCCAGGACTGTGGAAAAGTCTTACACATGTGGTATCTCCATACTCAGTAGGAGTAGCAGAATGTGTTTTGGGGTGAAGCTGCAAGTATGCATATGCCGTGTGCATAACCTGTTACTATAACAATTGTGTGAAAAAAAAACAAATTTTATTTACTTTCTTCAGTTTCTAAAGAATTGTGGGAAAAAAATTACAGGTTAAAAACTCACCATCAGGGGCGGACTGACCATTTGGAAACTCGGGCACTGCCCGAGGGCCCAGGGTCAGTAGGGGGCCCCATGAGATGCCCCTGGTACCTTTTTTATAGGCTTTTTTGAGTTTGGGCAAGGACACAGGGGTCCCATGATCCCTTATTGCCCGGGGGCCCCATGAGTTGTCAGTCCGCCCCTGCTCACCATGCATCTTACTAAATACCTTGGAATGTCTACTTTCCAAAAACATCATTTGGGGGGTATTTGTACTGTCCTGGCTTGTTAGTAGAAATGAGAAAGGCCATCAGTACATCAGGTTTGATCAGGTGTGATCAATTTTCAATGATTGGTACTAGAGATGAGCGAAGTATTCAAAAATTCGATTCGGCTGATTCGGCGAATTTGCGGAATAAATTCGATTCGAGTCGAATATATTCGCTGCGAATTTAACTTATAAAAAGGGTGTTTCTAGGCTTCAGAGAGCCTTTATATTAGTGCAGAACACTGTACCTTTAATTTAAATGCCCTTGGAGTCTGCTGGGGAAGAGAAAAATAATACTGTCAGTCAGTATGACATGCAGATGAGTGCCGTCGATCTTAGAATCACCGCACACTTCACTCATTTGGGCAGTCACGGGGCCCAAAACCAGAGTGTGGAGCCACAGTGTGGCGGTGGAGGCAGCAGCAATGGGAGGCCATACAGCACCCTATGAAAAAATGGAACCCACCAGCAGTGTGAGGAGACCTGAAAGTGGCACATGGCAGAGTGTGGCGATGGAGACAGCAGCAATGGGAGGCCGTACAGGGACCCATGACACACTCTGGACCTGGCAGCAGCATGAGGAGGCGGTACAGTGGCCCATGACAGTTTACGGGCCTGGCAGCAGCATGAGGAGTCGGTACGGGGGCCCATGGCAGATTACGGGCCTGGCAGCAGCAATGGGAGGCCGTGCAGGGACCCATGACACACTCTGGACCTGGCAGCAGCATGAAGAGGCGGTACAGGGGCCCATGACAGATTACGGGCCTGGCAGCAACATGAGGAGTCGGTACGGGGGCCCATGGCAGATTACGGGCCTGGCAGCAGCAATGGGAGGCCCGTAATCTGCCAGCACCCTATGACAAAATGGAACCCACCAGCAGTGTGAGGAGACCTGAAAGTGGCACATGGCAGAGTGTGGCGATGGAGACAGCAGCAATGGGAGGCCGTACAGGGACCCATGACACACTCTGGACCTGGCAGCAGCATGAGGAGGCGGTACAGGGGCCCATGACAGATTACGGGCCTGGCAGCAGCATGATGAGTCGGTACGGGGGCCCATGGCAGATTACGGGCCCAGGCAGCAGCAATGGGAGGCCGTACAGGGACCCATGACACACTCTGGACCTGGCAGCAGCATGAGGAGGCGGTACAGGGGCCCATGACAGATTACGGGCCTGGCAGCAGTATGAGGAGTCGGTACGGGGGCCCATGGCAGATTACGGGCCTGGCAGCAGCAATGGGAGGCCCGTAATCTGCCAGCACCCTATGACAAAATGGAACCATCAGCAGTGTGAGGAGACCTGAAAGTGGCACATGGCAGAGTGTGGCGATGGAGACAGCTGCAATGGGAGGCCGTACAGGGACCCATGACACACTCTGGACCTGGCAGCAGCATGAGGAGGCGGTACAGGGGCCCATGACAGATTACGGGGCCTGGCAGCAGCATGAGGAGTCGGTACGGGGGCCCATGGCAGATTACGGGCCTGGCAGCAGCAATGGGAGGCCATACAGCACCCTATGACAAAATGGAACCCACCAGCAGTGTGAGGAGACCTGAAAGTGGCACATGGCAGAGTGTGGCGATGGAGACAGCAGCAATGGGAGGCCGTACAGGGACCCATGACACACTCTGGACCTGGCAGCAGCAAGAGGAGGCGGTACAGGGGCCCATGGCAGAGTGGCGAAGCGTAAGCAGCTTAAATTGAAGGCCATACAGAGGCCTATGTTAAAAATAATGTTTGGGGCATGATTCATGGCGGATTTAGTCAGTTGTGTCAGGAACTGGTGGTTTGAAATCCAGACTAATCCACGCCTGATTCATTTTCACAAACGTGAGTCTCTCCACACTTTGGGTGGACAGTCGTGTCCTCCGCGGAGTTACAATACCTCCTGCCGCACTAAACACGCGCTCCGATGCCACGCTACTGGCCGGGCATAACAGCCTTTCAAGGGCAAATTCAGCTAGTTGGGGCCAAAGGTCAAGTTTCGTTGCCCAGTAGTCAAGGGGATTGTCTACCTCGGTTGGCAGGGTGCTGTCCAAGTAGGCCCAAGCCTGTTGTTTGAGGTCCTGCTCCAGGTCCACCTGATGCTGCTGCTGCTGCGGCTGGTTAGTAGTTTCCTCACTGCGCTGGTGAAGAAAGCTACTCATCATCAACTGCAGACTGAGGCAGCCGCTGCTGGTGGAGCTGCCACTGCTCCTACCACCCCACCCCTCCCCTGCTGCCATGGCAGCAGAACGCGAGCGCACAGGGCCCACAGTGTCTGAGGATGGACGTTGGCGCAGAAAGGCAGAGACCAACTGACTACATAGGTGGTTTTTATAGTACTTTATTTTGGCCTCCCTCTCAGCAGGTGTGAAAAAGGCCACCATTTTTGAACGGTAGCGAGGGTCCAACAAGGTGGACAGCCATAAGTCATCCCTCTGTCTGATGGTTATTATTCGGCTGTCGCTACGCAAGCAACCGAACATGCTATGGGCCATTTGTGCCAAGGAATGCGAGGGACTCCCTGCCTCCATCTCCACAGCATACTGCCACGGTGCGTCTGGGTCCTCTGTCTCCTCCTCCTCCTCTACCAGATGCTCCTGCTCCTCCACTCCTGTCCGCTGAGTGTAAAAACCACCCATTTCACTCAATAATTCCTGAGCACCAATGTCCTCCTCTACCTCCTCCTCTTCTTCCTGTCCTGCCCCCACAGGGGTCATGTGGCGTTGAGATCTGTGCGCCATGTCTACCGCACCCTGACCAGCCATTGTTAACAGCATTTGTTCCAGGACGTGCAACAGAGGAATGACGTCGTTCATCCCATAGTCCTGCCGACTGACGAATAGCGTGGCCTCCTCAAAGGGCCTGAGCAAGCGGCAGGTGTCACGCATGAGCTGCCAATGGCTGACATCTAAGTTACACAGGGGGAGTACCTTTATCCGCTTGTAACATCAGGAAATCGGTGATGGCCTTTCGCTGTTCGTAAAGGCGGTCTAACATGATATGTAGGGTTGAATTCCACCTTGTTGCAACGTCAACAGCATGAGGAGTCGGTACGGGGGCCCATGGCAATTACGGGCCTGGCAGCAGCAATGGGAGGCCCGTAATCTGCCAGCACCCTATGACAAAATGGAACCCACCAGCAGTGTGAGGAGACCTGAAAGTGGCACATGGCAGAGTGTGGCGATGGAGACAGCAGCAATGGGAGGCCGTTACAGGGGACCCATGACACAGATTACGTGGCCATGGCAGCAGCATGAGGAGGCGGTACAGGGGCCCATGACAGATTACGGGCCTGGCAGCAGCAATGGGAGGCCCGTAATCTGCCAGCACCCTATGACAAAATGGAACCCACCAGCAGTGTGAGGAGACCTGAAAGTGGCACATGGCAGAGTGTGGCGATGGAGACAGCAGCAATGGGAGGCCGTACAGGGACCCATGACACACTCTGGACCTGGCAGCAGCATGAGGAGGCGGTACAGGGGCCCATGACAGATTACGCGGAACTGGCGGGCCTGGCAGCAGCAATGGGAGGCCCATAATCTGCCAGCGTAAACCCTATGACAAAATGGAACCCACCACAGTGTGAGGAGACCTGAAAGTGGCACATGCAGCAGATGTGGCGATGGAGAGACAGCAGCAATGGGAGGCCGTACAGGGACCCATGACAGATTACTCTGGACGCCTGGCAGCAGCATGAGGAGGCGGTACAGGGGCCCATGGCAGATTACGGGCCTGGCAGCAGCAATGGGAGGCCCGTAATCTGCCAGCACCCTATGACAAAATGGAACCCACCAGCAGTGTGAGGAGACCTGAAAGTGGCACATGGCAGAGTGTGGCGATGGAGACAGCAGCAATGGGAATTGGCCGTACAGGGACCCATGACAGACACTCTGGACCTGGCAGCAGCATGAGGAGGCGGTACAGGGGCCCATGACAGATTACGGGCCTGGCAGCAGCAATGGGAGGCCCGTAATCTGCCAGCACCCATGAAGCACAAAATGGAACCCACCAGCAGTGTGAGGAGACCTGAAAGTGGCACATGGCAGAGTGTGGTCGATGGAGACATGGGGCCCTCCTGGGCCGCATGAGAGGCGTGACAGGGGCCCTGGCCACATGCCTGGCAGACAATACGGCTACGTTTGGAACCTTCCAGCAGTGGGGGCTTGACATGGCAGAGGGGCGATGGAAAGGGGCTTAGCACCATGCCGAGTACGGAAACTTGCGGCGAAAAATTGCCCCCGCCGAGTAGGAAACTACCCCTCACTCCTCACTGGCTGACTGCTACTTCCCCGTGCACACCACCGGCACCACTACTGGCCGTGGTGGGTAGGCTGCAGTGGAGCTGGTGCTCTACTCCGTGATGGCCGTTTGCCTCCACTGACCACTGCTGCGACCCTGCTGCCTCCTGGGCAACCCACCGACTGTTTTGCTCGCTGCCAAGCTGGCACCCTCTTCTCCTGATGATGTGCGGAAGCAATAGCCTGATGACGACGAGGCTGCCAAGTGCGATCAGCCTCATCATCATCAATTAGGGTCTCCGCCTCACTACTAGCCCCCTCGGCTGCGTGTGGGTCAGGAGACAGACCTGTCTCTAGACCGGCTACCGAGCCACTCTCCTCGCCACTACTTCTTCGCCTGCGCTGCTGTAGAGGCGGATGTCTCCCCCCGTTCCTGACCGCCCTCTGTTAGCTCTTCCTCACTGTACAGTGGGGCTGAGCCCACAGCATGCGATACTTCGCTTGGTGAGGGAACACCAAAGGACAGGGGCAGGTAAAGGACACGTTGATTTCAGTGGGCTTGCTCCCGGGCCATGCCAACTAACGGTTGTGTCTGACGTACCCACCGACCGTTGGCTGTAGGTGTCAGAGGTCATGGGAGAAGAGGAAGACGACCGAGCCAACCAATCGATGACGGCAGGGTTGTCGGTGGAGACCGACCGCTGGATGACACCGGGAGCACTGGCCTCTGGCTGCGACTAGTGCTGCCTCGACCCCTTCCTCTGCTGCCATGTCTGCTCGCTCCTGAAACATTGCCTCATCCTCTGCCACTCCTCTGCGTGTTGTCTGACATACTCTTTAATTCAACGATTCTGTGTCCCTGAGTAACAATTCTGTGTCCCTGTCCCTGAGTAACAATTCTGTGTCCCTCAGTAACAATTCTGTGTCCCTCAGTAACAATTCTGTGTCTGTCCCTGAGTAACAATTCTGTGTCCCTCAGTAACAATTCTGTGTCCCTCAGTAACAATTCTGTGTCTGTCCCCTGAGTAAAAATTCTGTGTCCCCTGAGTAACAGTTCTGTGTCCCTGAGTCACAAGTCTGTGTCCCTGAGTAACAGTTCTGTGTCCCTCAGGAACAATTCTGTGTCCCTCAGTAACAATTCTGTGTCCCTGAGTAACAATTCTGTGTCTGTCCCTGAGTAACAATTCTGTGTCCCTAACAGTTCTGTGTCCCTGAGTAACAATTCTGTGTCCCTGAGTAACAGTTCTGTGTCCCTGAGTAACAATTCTGTGTCCCTGAGTAACAATTCTGTGTCCCTGAGTAACAATTCTGTGTCCCTCAGTAACAATTCTGTGTCCCTCAGTAACAATTCTGTATCTGTCCCTGAGTAACAATTCTGTGTCCCTCAGTAACAATTCTGTGTCCCTCAGTAACAATTCTGTGTCTGTCCCCTGAGTAACAATTCTGTGTCCCTGAGTAACAGTTCTGTGTCCTGAGTAACAATTCTGTGTCCCTGAGTAACACTTTCTGTGTCCCTGAGTAACAATTCTGTGTCCCCCTGAGTAACAATTCTGTGTCCCTCAGTAACAATTCTGTGTCCCTCAGTGAAACAATTCTGTGTCTGTCCCTGAGTAACAATTCTGTGTCCCTGAGTAAAACAATTTTCTGTGTCACTGAGTAACAATTCTGTGTCCCCTGAGTAACAGTTCTGTGTCCCTGAGTAAACAATTCTGTGTCCCTGAGCAACAATTCTGTGTCCCTGAGTAACAAACATTCTGTGTCCCT